CCACCCAAGGGAAAAGATCTTGGCTGTTTACCCTATCCATGCCCCTCAAGATTTCATAAACGTCTATAAGGTCACCCCTCAGCCTCTGACCCTCCAGGGAAAATAGCCCGAGCCTACTCAGTCTCTCTCGAAAGCTCAAACCCTCCAACCATGGCAACATCCTTGTAAATCTTTTCTGAACCCTTTCATGTTTAACATCTTTCCTATAGCAGGCAAATCATTACTGAATGTAGTGTTCCAAAAGGGGCCTAACCAATGTCCTTCAAAGCCACAACATGATATCTCAACTCCTATACTCAATGCACTGACCAATAAAGGTAAACATATCAAACACCTTTTACACCTTCCTGTCTACCCGTGACTCCACTTTGAAGGAAGTATGAACCTGCTTCCCAAGGTCTCCTTATTCAACAAAACTCACCAGGACTCAACCATTAAGTGTATTAGGCCTGCCCTGATTTGACCTACCAAAATGCAATACCTCACACTTAAATAAAAATTGATCTGCCACTCCTCAGTCCATCTGATCAAGGTCCCATTCTATTCGGAGATAACCTTCCTCACTATCTACTGCACCACCAATTTTGGTGTTACCTGCAAATTTAGTAACCATTCCTCCAATACTGAAATCATTTATATAAAATGACAAAAAGCAGTGGACTCAGCACCAATCCTTGTAGCACACTGCGGGTTAAAGGCCTTTCCAAATGGCCAGCTCTCCCTGGATTCCATGTGATCTAACCTTGTTAATCAGTCCACCATGTGGAATTTTATCAAAAGCCTTACTGAAATCCATATCGAAAACATCCACCGCTCTGCCATCAATCTTTTTTGTTACTTCTTCAAAAAACTCAATCAAGTTAGTGAGACATAATTTCCTGTGGACAAAGCCATGTTGACTATCCCCATTCAGTCCTTGCCTTTCCAAATACATGTAAATCCTATCCCTCAGAATTCCCTCCAACAACTTACCCACAACTGACGTCAGGCTCACCAAAAGTTTATAGTTCCCTGGTTTTATCTTACCACCTTTCTTAAACAATGGCACCAGGTTAGCCAACCTCCAGTCTTCTGACAGCTCACCTATGACTGTAAATGGTGCAAATATCTGAGGAAGGGGCCCAATCGCAAGCCTAGCTTCCCGCAAAGTTCGAGGATACACCTAAAGAGGTCCTGGGGATTTATCCACCGTTATGCTTTGTAAAGAATCCAGCACCACCTCCTCTATAATATGGAATTTTTCAAGACACACATTCATTTCTCTAAGTTCTCTAGCTTTCATATCCTTTTCCACAGTAAATACTGATGTAAAATACTTGTTTAACATCTCACCCATCTCGTGCGTTCCCACACATAGGTGGTCTTACTGTTCTTTTCAGGGGCATAATAGTGTCAAATTTGGCATTACTCCCATTTAAAACTTTAACTTTTAGACCAGGTCTATCCTTTTCCATAACTATTTTAAAACTAATAGAATTATGATCATAGGCCCCAAAATATTTCCCCCCACTGACCCCTCAGTCACCTGCCCTACCTTATTTCCCAAGAGAAGATCAAGTTTTGAGCAGGGACTAATGACATCAGTACAAACAGCCCAAAGATCACAGTTCATTCCTTGATGTAAGAACAAAATCCTTCAAATGTGGTTGTGGTGAACTTGCTGGTGTGTTAACAGTTTGGATGATTGAGTGAATCCCTTTCCACACATGGAACAAGTGAATGGTCTGTCCCCAGAGTGAACTCGCTGGTGTCTCAGCAGATTGGTTGAGTGAGCAAATCCCTTCCCACACTTGGAACAGGTGAATGGTTTCTCTCCAGTGTGAATTCGCTGGTGTATCAGCAGGTGAACTGTCTGAGTGAATGCTTTCCCACACTCCGAACAGGTGAATGGTCTCTCTCCAGTATGAAGTCGCTGATGTGTCAGCAGGTTGCATGAGTGAGTAAATCCCTTCCCACACTCAGAACAGGTGAAAGGTTTCTCCCCAGTGTGAACTCGCTGATGTACCAATAGTTTGGACATGCGAGTGAATCCTTTCCCACATTCAGAACAGATGAACGGTCTTTTCCCGGTGTGAACTTGCTGGTGTTCCAGCAGAGAGGATGACTGAGTGAATCCTTTCCCACAAACAGAACAGGTGAATGATTTCTCTCTGGTGTGAACTCGCTGGTGTCTCAGCAGGTTGGTTGACGAAACGAATCCTTTCCCACAGATAGAGCAGGTGAACAGTCTGTCCCCATTGTGAATTCGCTGATGTGTCAACAGGCTGGATGACAAAGCAAATTCTTTCCCACATACAGAGCAAGTAAATGGCCTCTCTCCTGTGTGAACTCGCTGGTGTTTCAGCAGGTGAGATGTCTGCGCGAATCCTTTCCCACACACAGAGCAGGCAAACGGTCTCTCCCCAGTGTGAACTCGCTGGTGTTTCAGCAGGTTGCTTGACTGAGTGAATGCCATCCCACAATCAGAGCAAGTGAACGGTTTCTCCCCAGTGTGACTGCGTTGGTGCATTTCCAGCTGGGATGGGTAAATAAATCCCTTCCCACAATCCCCACATTTCCACAGTCTCTCCCCAGTGTGACTGCGCTGGTCTTTGGACATTTCAGATGAATCTTCACAGACTCTTCGACACACAGACAATACGCATTGCTCCCTGGTGTGAACAGTGCTTTTTCCTTCAATGTTCAAAATCCTGAGATAATTAGGTTACGACAAACAGATTGAGTGTCAGATCTGGATGTGGTTTTGTTTAATTTATCTAAATGCAATCAAAATTTCAAACAGAAAATAAAAAGTAGAGAGAGAGAAACCAGAAGAACACACACAAAGATTGTGAAACTCAGAAATTAATCTGGTCAATTGTGGATCCAACACTTAGAGGAACTGCTGGATTATCAGTAAAACTGAACTGGTTCATAAATGTCCTTCAGGGAAGGGAAAGTCAGTGTTTGCCCAAAACTACAAAAAGATATAGAGTTTGGACAGACACGAAGGAGAGGCATTTTATACATCTGAAAATGAATCCAATTCCTGTTTTTTTTCCCATACCCTTTGATCCCTCTGAAGGACTAAGAATAAGCTGCAAAATACCCAAAATCTGAAATAAAAACAGAAAATGATGGAGATACACAGCCAGTCCGGCAGCATCTGAAATGGTGACAGATGCAGGAACCATTGCAATCTTGAAGAAGTGTTTAGATGATCATCCGTTGCACTGCAATATAAGTTACACACCGAGTGCCAGAAAATGGGCCTAGCTTAAATAGGTGCTTGATGACCAGCACAGATACAATGGGGACAGTGTGTTCGACAATTTTACCCGAGTGTCTGACCCCATTTTGTTCCGTGTTTCTCTCTGATTCTCTCTTTTAGGAAGCAGGCAGCAGCAAGTAGTGAAGAATGCAAATGATACTTTGGCCTTCATTGTGAGAGGATTCGAGTACAGGAAAAGGGATATCTTTCTATAAGGGCCTTGGTGAGACCACACCTGGAGTAGTGTGCACCTTTGTTCTCCTTTCCAAAGGAAGAATGCCCTGGCTACTGAATGATCGTAAAGAAGGTTCACCAGACCGATTCCTGGGATCTCAGGACTGATGTATGAAGAGAGAGATTTGATCCTTGATTAATCCTTCTTTCTTTTAATCTTTCAGCCGCTATCATGAACTAATTTCATGTCCCATTTGCTGATCTGAGTCTTTCACGTCTAAACCTATACTTTGGTTCCCATCCCCCTGTCATACTAGTTTAAATCCTCACCAATGGAACTAGCAAAAGCATCAACAAGAATATTTGTCCCAGCTCTGCCCAGGACAATTGGTCAAGCTTGTGCATGTCCTACCTTCCCCAGAAACAGTCTCAATGCCTCAGGAATCTAAACCTTTTAAGCTATTTCTCCAGCCATGCATTCATCTCATCTGTCCTCTTATTCCTGCTTTCATCAGCACGTGCATTGTAGCAGCTCATACTGTTACTGGATTAGATCATGAAAGGTCCTGTGGGGGTCATAAAAGAGTCCTGTTGAGAAGGAACATTAGGGAATTTACTTTCTGTAAACAGGCAGTTCAAAACACATAAGCACTTTAATAAGAGGCATTTTTTAAAGGCCTGGTTCAGCCACAATCGCAAGTTTGTTACTTAATAAAAAGTAGAAGGAAAAGTCTGATCCTCCAGCATTCTGAACCATTTAGGTAATTGTAATCAGAAATGCAAACAACCAATTAATGTGAAAGGGTTAGTTGAATTCCTTGAGCAAATGTTCGTGGGCAGTAAAAGCAGCTCACTGCATCATTAGGGAAGGCAAAGCAATAAATGGTGTAAACACAACCTCTAAAAGACCAACAGCACAGGAAGGGGCAAAAAAAGGTTGTAAAAAGAGAAGTCAGGACTGCAGAGAGACAAAACAATTGAAATGTAGATGTGGATAATTTGAATAAATTCTTACATCGAAAGATCAAGGGAAGAGTGACAAAGATAGATTACAAAATCCAAAGTGAAGATATGGTCAGTGCCCTAGTTATTTGTGAAATCTAAACAAGTTTTGTTTAATGGCTTGGTAAAGTTCTAAAGTGACTGAATTTCACCCTCATCAGTGGGATTCGCATAGATGCTTTTTATTAAAAAAAAAGTAATGGAAAGCAATTAGAGTAGAAAATAAAACTTCAGTTTAAAATTCATTTACAGCATGCAAATAGTTGGGGTTGTAAACTGCAGCAGCAAGTCAGAAACACTGTTTGTTTGAGCTCTTAAGCTGAAGTGAGAGAGGGATTTTTTTCGCAATTTGTCAACTGTATTACAGAATTGTAGTTACTTTATATCAGAGTTGAGTTTAAAAGACTTTATCACAATTCCTAATAATCCATACTACAGTTAGTAGAGAATTTGGAAAAGTTCTTAGTGATAAGCTACTATTTCGGTTATTGGCAAAAAATGTGGTGCAGCTGGCAAATGTCTGAGGAGGAATATAACTGTCAAAAGCGTTGTAAGGTCCCAAAGACAGACGGAGTAGTTTTCTGGCTAACCTCAGGAGATTATGGGAGGGTTTAGGACTGAACATAGTGTTGTCCACGATTGTTTGCTTACTGGATTGGATATATTGATTTGGGGTGTGTGGCTAACAATGACAACAATATTGCATGTAAATAACATCTCGTGAAAGGAATAAAAATATTACGATCAGCCAGGGAAAGTTCAAGTGTCATTGTCCACTCTTCCAATCTGAGCTGTATTTAAGAGGGGAATTAGGCCTCACGTGAAAGCCAGATTTGGAGTGGACTCTGGCCTCTCCCACACATGCGGTAACAGAGCTCTGAATAAAGGTCGCTTGTACTACTGAACACAACACAAAACTCCTCTTTCATGTTTCTCCCTACAACAATGTGGCACTGGGTATAAGCTTGACAATACTACATTTGAGATCTTGTATTTTAATATATCTCTTATCTTCAGCTTTCAGGTCCTCCTCCCTTTGTTTTCCTATGTCATTGGTACCTATATGTTCCACGACAATTGGATGTTCACCCTCCCAGTCCAGAATGTCCTGAAGCTGCTGCATGTCATCGCTGATCCTGGCACCAGGGAGGCAACATACCGTCCTGGATTCATGTCTCTCTGTACCCCTTACTATTGAATCCCCTGTCTCTACAGTCATGTTTATCGTTTTCCTCCCCTTCTGTGCAGCAGAGTCACCCCCCAAGTGCCATGAACTTGACTGATGCTGCTTTCCCCTGAGTGGCCAGCCACCACCCCCCTGAACAGTACCCAAAACAGTATATCTATTTGAGGGGATGACCACTAGGGACTCCGGCACTTCTTTCCTGATCCTTTTACTTGTCTGATGGTCACCCATTCCCTTGCTGTCTGTGTAATCTTCACCTGCTGTGTGACCAATCTGTTGAGAGTGCTACCGCAACCTTCTTAGTATCATGGATGCTCCATACTGAGTGCACCCACAGCTCCAGCTCTGAAAAGCAGTTAACCAGTAGCTGCAGATGGACACACTTCCTGCACACATAGCCAACAGGGACACTGGAAACGTCCCTTATTTCCCACATTGTGCAAGAGGAGCACACCACGGATCTGAGGTCTTCTGTTATGACTTCCCTCCAGATTAAGCCAGTTTCTGCCTTAAAGAGAATTTAATTAAGCTAGGTCCTCCCCCTTCATTTCAAACATTACTATTATAATCAAAAGCCCCTAACTTTATTTAAGCTAATATATACTTTAAAAACTGTAAGAAAATTCTCTATGGTATCAATTATCAATTGGCTGTTTCCGTTAGGACTGAGAGACTTTCTGAACTGCCCAAACTGAGACTGAGCATCACACTCAATCTTTCAGCTTCACTTTCTCTCTGTTTCACCCGAGTCCAAAGCACTCTCATTTAGCCAAGCAGCACTCACAGTGCAGCCTTGTCATTTTCATTGTCTGCTCACACCCACTCTGATCTCAGCCTCCCATACTGTTTCAATGCAGCTCAATGGGAGCTCAGGGAACAGTGTCTCCACTTTAAATGCAGTAATTTATAACCCTCAGGACTCAACACAGACTTCAGCAGTTTCAGGATCAATAGAGTTGTCAGGATCTGGAAGATTCCACCTGAAGGGGTGCTGGAATTTGAGCCCATAAGGAATTTTAAAAGGAAGTTTGCAGGTATTCAAGAATGAAGAACTTATAGGTTAAAATCATGAAGTGGGCAGTTGGGACTAAATATGACAGTTCTTTCAAAAAGATGAGGTGTTGTTTGGATAAATCTGCCCCTCTCAGGCCAATATTTCCTTTCTCAGCTGCAGGGTATAGAACTGAACACTTACCCCAGGGGTGATCTAACCAAAAATTTGAATATCCTGCTTTCAAGTTACCAGGAATATTCTCCCACGGATAGAACAGTCAAACCTCTTTCCTCTCACAGTTAAGTGTCAATGATATTCAGATCCCGATCACTCCGCTTACTGGAGAACTTGCTTTGCGATCCTGGTCTGCAAATTATTCTCAATTAATATCCTGTAAAACGAATCCACAAAAGACAAATAACTGTCAGCCCCGGATAGAAAATCTAGAAAACACCGCAAGATTGTCTGGAAAAGGTAAACATTTCTCTCGGTTTCTGTTAGTTATGTATAAATCCTCCTCCTCAAATCACCCCGCTCCCCAACACAGAAAGATGTAGAGGTAAAATACACCCATTATTAGAGACTGAGGAAGTCAGATATTAACATTTGTCCAAGGAGCACAAGGGTGATCAGAGCAGTTTCAGTGATTTGATCCCAATCATACGAACATTGGACAAACGGATATGCTTTAATAGATCATAATATTTAAAGCAGGACTTCCTACAGTGAGACAACATGAAGTTCTGAGGAACGGTTACCGGATCCGAAACGTTTTTTTTTCCTTCACAGATGCTGCCAGACCTACTCAGCTTTTCCAGCAACTTTGTTTTTGAACATGAAGCGCTTAACGCGTTTTAGTCATTTCTCCTCCACTAAGTATCTAACGTGTAACTGCAGCAATTATACTGCCTGAAGCCAGTACTCCGCCAGCGTCAAACGTCCTTCCCGGGAAATACACGCCGTGTCTCACACTCCAGGAAAGAAATCCAGAAAAAAACAAACATTTCTCTTGTGTAAATCCTCCCCTTCTCCCAAGCAAGAAAGGCTGCGCATGCGTTCCATTGCAGATTGCCACCTATAAAGATGGCGATCCGGCATGAGTCCCGAGGATCATTACCCCTAATAAAGATGATGGCGATTACCCAGGCCTATCGCAGCCTCAGGTCCGCAACCGATTTTCCGTTTGCTGCAAACACGGGGCCGGCACATTAAAATTTATGTTTTCTGACGTGCATCAACTGTTATTAAAACCTCTCAGTCCATACCGGCAATATTTCCCTCCCGCTTTTTGTCATTTTCCTTTTTACACTGCGTACTGTACCTTTCGTAAACAGCCAACGTTCTGTCGCAGAGATATTGCACTCCAAGACAAAGACGATCACGTGATTTTCACGCCTCATGCATCTTATTCGCTTCGATTGGTTGGAGGATAGACCGCTTCCATCGGGTCCTCCAGACCCGCCCCGTGCTCCTATTGAACCAAAGCTGTCATCACTCACGTGGAGATAGCAATAACTGCAGATGCTGGAGTCACAGATGACACAGTATGGAGCTGGAGGAACACAGCAGACCAGGCAGCATCAGAGGAGCAGGAAAGCTGACGTTTCAGGACCCTTCTTCAGAAATGGGGGAGGGGATGGGAGCTGAGAAATAAATAGAGAGGAGCGGTGGGGGCTGGGGAAGATCGGTGGGATCGTGATAGGTGAGTGCAGATAGTGAGTGGTGAAGATTTTTCCTGCTGTTCATCAGCTCTGTGAGTGATGGTGAGGGTTCATCCCGAGATGGGAAAAAAATGGGCCATTCCTGATTCTCCTAATGTAAGGCAATTACAACTAGCAGCTTGTATTTTATGGAACCTTTTACTCTCATTCTCCTCAGTTGCTTCTCAGATGAGCAAAACATCGATTAAAGATGTCGATTTTACGATGTATCGTAAAGAACGAGAGAGAGGTTTAGGGAGGAAATTCCATCGTTTGGGTCGTCAGCAGCTCCAATCCTGGAGTGTTGTAAGTGGGGTGGTCGGAAAAGCGTCTGGAAAGGGGAATTCCAGGAGTGGAAAGAATGCACATGGTCTTAAGGATGGCGAAGGTTTCAGAGACTGTCACAGAGAGTACGGTTGTCTCATGGAGCTTAAAGCATGACACTGCAATCGATCCATTGCAAGTCATGACCACAGTGGTATAGAAGATTTCTGCTGCCTTAATCAGGCTGACCAATCTTTGTATCTATGGGCTTGCAAAATGTCAGTAATCATCTCTACCTCAGAGTCAAGGTATTGATGGGATGCTGCTACAGCAGAGGAGACAGGGAACAAGGAATGTCACACAAAGCTCTGTCCTCTTCTCACTATTTCACAGCAAAACCAAGGGAGCACCTGACATACCACCTCCATCTCCCATCACAACACTTTGCCCCACAATAGCTGTGTCTGCCCCTGCACAAGTAGAAGTGGGAGTCTTTTCCAGGACCATCTGGGGCTCCGAAACTCTGAGTGAAGACCAAAAGCATCTCAGCAGTGAGAGCAAAGATTTGAGAAGACTGTCTGCACCTTTGCTGAAACTTACAGGAGCACCAGGTCGAAGCAATAGGAAGCATCTGGAATACAAACTGGAATTGATTAAGTGTGCGTGTGTACAAATTTGGGCAGGCCGGGGGTTTGGGACACTTGACAAAATTTTCAGTTTCCTTTTTGAATAGACATCTGAAATGCCTGTTTGGAACCACTTCTAACCGTTATCCATACTCTGATCCAGAGGGCCAGTTCACTCTTGCACTGGTTTCATCCTGCAATTTTATGAAGTCAGCAACAAGATGAGTTTCAACATTGAATTTAGAGATTATTAAAAGCTAACATCGATTGCCATTAGAATGTTTTGATTTTGATTTATTGTAGTCTCGTGTACCTAAGTACAGTGAAAGTGTTTTTGTGAGCAGTACAGGCAGATCATAGCAAACAATGACATACAGATCAAAGTGTGCTTAGGCAGAGCAAGACATGCAAGGTTATGTCTGCACAGGAGGTATGCAAAGCAAGATCAATACTATTTGGAGTTACAGAGTCCATTCATCAGTCTAATAATGGCAGAGAAGGAGCTGTTCTTGAACCTCTTGATGGGTGTGTTCAATCTTCTGCCTAATGGAAGAAGTTGGAAGAGAGCATTACTGAGATGGAATCAGAGATAGTAGGAACTGCAGATGCTGGAGAATCCGAGACAACAAGGTGCAGGGCTGGATGAACTCTGATGAAGGGTCCAGGCCCGAAACGTCAGCCTCTCTGCTCCTATGATGCTGCTTGGCCTGCTGTGTTCATCCAGCCCTGCACATTACTGAGATGGGACGGGTCTTTGATGATGTTGGCAGCCTTTCTGCGGCAACGAGAAGTGTAAATGAAGTCCATGGATAGGAGGTTGGCTTCTGTGATGATCTGGGCTGTGCACACAACTTTCTGTAGTTTCTTATGGTCTTGGGCTGAGCAGTTGCAGTACCAGGTCATGATGCACCCAGATAGTATGTTTTCTATGGTGCATCTGTAAAGGTTGGTGATGTCCTTATGGACATGCAGTACAGTAGATAAACAAAACATAAAAAGTAAAAGTTCAAAAAGACGCCAGTTTAGAGATCCTGGGATTTTAAGTCGGATTTGAAACTGTTTTGTGCAGGTGACAGTTAAAGAAAGCTCTTGGAGTTCTTTTGTCAGTGAATAGAGAAGTGCTGGTGAAATAAAGGATTATAGATGTAGCAGCCCTGAGGTAAGAGGAAAACAGAACAACCATGAATATGCAGAAGATCACGTGGTTGAGTGAGGTCAGTGTTGCTTATATGAACTGTGACTGGGCACAGGGGGGAGTTAATCAGATAAGAACAAGGATAAAAGAGATCATCAAGTAATGTCTGTGCAGTGAAGAACAACCAGAATCAGAAGATGAAGGCCCGAGAGAGAGAGCTTGAAGATCGAGGCTGCAAAAACTACCAGAAGTCCTTTTAACACTCTGCTGTTTAGTCACTGACAGGAGCAGTACAACTGTGTTCAAGTGTAAATTGTTGTCTGCGTTTATCACTGTAGTTTGCCTGACAGCAGATCACCTTCTACTGACTTTGTCTCAATAAAGATGATAGTTGCTTCACAGCCCAGCTCTGCTGCCAAGTCTGCTCCTGCCTGAAAAGGTGTAGATCACAAAAGAAGACAATGCTTATTGTCAATCCAGGCTGGGAGTGATTGTGGATGAGTGGTTGAAGGAATATTCAGTGCACAGAAAATGGGGAGTTTATATTGGTGCTGGGAAATGTTCATTCCGAAGAGATTGACCTGAAACAGTGACCATTAGTTTACTCAGAGATAGTAGTTTTTCTGAAGAAGGGTCCAGGCCCGAAACGTCAGCCTTCCTGCTCCTATGATGCTGCTTGGCCTGCTGTGTTCATCCAGCTCTACGCCTTGTTGTCACCATTAGTTTACTACTTTGCTGCTATGCCTTTCCCAACTTTAGGTATGTCAATTCAAACTGTGGTGGTTTTGCTGAGTGTTCAGATCACAAGATCATAATACATAGGAACAGAATTGTGTCATTCCGTCTTGACTGAATGGTGTGCAGTTCTGGTCTCACTGCTATAGGAAGGATGTTGTGAAACTTGAAAGGGTTCAGAAAAGATTGACAAGGATGTTGCCAGGGTTGGATGGTTAGCAACTCTGTTGTCAAACTGACTTTATTTCTGTTTATTACAATTGTTGTTCTGCTCCAGTTCGTATTTTAATCAGATGTTGGTAATAATGCCCAGTTATTTGAACGAGAATTCCACACAAGGCAGAATATGATCGATCTCCATTAGCAGGGTATCAACCCCTCCTTATATTTCACCATTTCGAATGAGTTTCTTTTTATCTCGCTCTGCTGTCTGGTTGCGTATCTCTCTCTATTTTCTTTTTGTTTTTTTTTCGCCACTTAGTCACTTTACAGCCTGGAGTGCTCAACATTGAAACCTATAACTAAACTGACCACATGATATCTGTTCTCCATCTGTCTGCCACCTTCCACGCACCTTCCATTGATGTTTGGTGAGGATTTCATCAGTGCCAGCAACTGTGATCGAATCGGAGGAACTGGTTACATTGCAACTACATTTAAATCCTCCCCCAATTGAGAAATCCCTCGAGAACTGATCACAGTTTCAAGGAAACTATACAACACATATGGAGCAATGAATTGAATTATTGATAATGTTTAATCCGTGTGTTAGGATTACACAACGAAAAAACACTGCTGATGGTTCAAATCTGAAAAACTAACAGTGAAATGCAAGAGACACTCAGCAAAGCGGGACACAGTCTGACACACAGTACAAGATTACCAGGGGAATGCGGAGGGAATTTGTTGGTTATACTGGGAGACAGGGACAACAGCGAAAAGTGGGAGTCACTGGAATGGGAATCGCGGGATAAAGTCACGTAACTGGGTGAGAGAATGGGGACAGCACAGCGCAGCTCCCTGTGGTACTCGCCTTGGACTGTCCCGCTTTTGGGCAGGTCTGGGTTAAGTTTCAGGAAGCTGCAAGTTGAATGGTAGTTCTGTGAAGTGGGCGGGACTAATGTTGTGATTGACAGTAGGGGGTGTTCTTCAGACCAGGAACAGCCTCTGCTCCGCTTTTTCTTCGTGAATGTTTCTCTGGAGTCGAGTTGGTTAGTGTTCAGGGCTCTCTGTCCGTATCCCGGTAATGTAGGTGAACAGTAGGTCACTGTGTGTAGATCATATCGCCAACCCTCTCTCTTCCCCTTTTTCCCAATCCCCAGTTACACGCTGCTGGCTCTGGGAGCTCTGGCGGATGCGGGACTGTAGTCAATCTCGGCGCTGGTTTGGGTGCACAGAAGACGGTTTAGTATTTGGGGTAATGACAGATCATTCAGCCCAGCAGGACGGAATCTAATCTATCAGCAGGGAACCACACCGCCCTCACAGACTGGGCTTAGTTTCTTTAGAGCAGGATAGACTGAGGAAGGGTCCATCGGACCCGAAACGTTATCTCTTGTTTTTTTCGTCCCAGATGCTGTCAGACCTGCTAAGCTTTCCAGCAACTTCTCTTTTGTTGTAGACTGAGGGGGGTCATGATTGGGATGTATAAATTTATGAGGGAAATAGAGAAAACAAGAATGAATCTTTCTGCTTAGTGGTGGAATCAGTATCGGGGGACATGGATTGATGGTAAGCGGCGGGAGGTTTTGATGAGATGAGAGGATTTTTTTTTCACTCAATGGGGGGAATCTGAAACTCACTGCCTGGCAGCCTGGTCGAGTAGAAATGGTCATAACATTTCCAGAACTATTTAGATTATAAAATAAACACCGAAAGAACTGCGGATGCTGTAAATCAGAAACAAAACAGAAATTGTTGACAAA